GAATGGTTATTTCTGCCTGTGACAATTTATGGTATGCTCATACTGTATAAGCAGGATTAGAAGCAAATGACTTAAGAGATCATTTTGGGCTCGGGCTGGACGGTGGGGGCCTGAATCCGGAATCTAAAAAAAAATGAGACAAATATGTCTTTCTTGCATCACTTATGTATGGCTGGCGGGCGCCTTTTTTCCGAATTTTTATACTCCTCTCGAGTCCTTGTTTGTTTCTAATCTTTTCCGTGGTGGACATGACGAAGATTCACACACTAGGTATATGATACTACCGCATGAGGTGTTCCATCCGATTTTTGTTTTCTCTGTCTTCGCCTTGCGTTAATGTGGGAACATTGTGGGGGGGTTGGGGGGGGAGGGGGGAATTGTCTGGGCTGAGGTGTCCTTTTCCTCAGCTGCTGTACTGTTGCACTGCAATTCTTTTTTTTTTGGGGGGGGTGAGGGGGGCATTTTTCTTTTTATTCATGTCATCCCTGAATGCGCAGGGGCATGCTAAGTAATCTTCTTTCTCTGTATCCTTTCCAATTAAACCGCCAGCACCTTTCCCAACCACTGGCCGCGGGCCCTGTGCGCCAAGGATTCGGGATGTATCTGGTCGGGGCTAGGAGGCCAGCCCCGCTCTTCGTGTTGACTGGCAGGCTTTTTGTTTTTGGCTGGGAAAGTTACTGAGGGAAAGTTACTGACGGTTTAATCGCAGGGACGAGTACTAATTATTGCATTCGTCGACGTTGGCATTCTTTGGATGGTTCAAAAACTCCCTGGTAGATATTAGGGGGCCGCTAGATGCTCGTTCGTGTCTTTCTGTTGATCTTTCTGCTTCCCGTCTCCCCTGAACAACAACACCCATATTCCCTCAAGTGAATTGAATGCCATGTGAGCATCATTGTATCATCTGTACCAGGCCTGCAAGTGGGCTGAACACAGATATGATGATGCCACATTCTATTTTGGGAAGACGCCAGAACTTGAAGTTGGAATCCTGATGCCTGAGGCTGGCAGCTTTTTGGGTTGATAACGAATCTGTTCGGTTATCGCGGTTGTAGTCATGTCTGCGGCCCCCAAGCTCGAACTCAGGCCGCACAGCATTTCTTGGCCGTTTTCTGCTCGATTTCGGTTCTGGTTTCTTGCAGCTGTCATTTCGCGCGGTCAGGTGCTGTTTCGTTTGCAGCATGAAGTATATAGCAACAAGCAATGTCGAGCGAGGCCTCCCTGCAGCATGTTCAAATACAAGTAAATAGTAGTCTGGAACGTTGAGTGGAGGCCTCCTTGCACCATGTTCGAATACGAGTACATAGCAGTCTGGTACGTGGAGTGAGGCCTCCTTCCAGCATGTTCGAATATGAGTACATAGCAGTCTGGTGTGTGGAGTGAGGCCTCCTTGCAGCATGTTCGAATACATGTAAATAGCGGTCTGGTCTGCGAGCAAGGCCTCCTTGCCTCATGTTGGAACACAAGTACATATCAGTCTTGAACGGAGTCTGGAACGTTGAGGGGAGGCCCTATATCCATGGTTTGGGTGTCTACAACGGGCCGCGGCTTTTCCTTCTGCATTTTTTTTTGTTGGGGGGGGGGGGCAGAGTTGGCTGTTTCTGCAACCCAGCCCACACCCATTGGCCCCATGTACCCCGCAGTGAACTGCCCCGTCCAACATCCCACATGGTGCCACCCAACCCTTGTCTGTTGGTTTCTCTCATCCCCTCTATTAGGATTGGCATTGCAGCCGCGGGTCGACTTTCTTTTTCTAAAGGGTTTTGGCTGGCAAGATCAGACCTTCCATGGCGCAGCCAGCCTGGGGGTGACTGGTCATCGTAACTCCCCAACACCCTTTCCTATATACCCACATAACTTCTTGAGGACCCTCCATCCTCGCTTCTGAGCCTTAGACTCCCGTTCAGTGCACTTGATCAAGGATTGCCCTCCCAAGGTGGGAGACAAGCGTTGCATACCCAGCCTCTCGGGCGCGACTGACTCGAAATTACTTCACTGGGGAGGGCCCTTGGGTCCATGAACAGCGGACTCTAGACCCACTAGGCTGCATTTATCATAGTCTCAGGAACAGCGATTTCGTTAAAATGGACATATTTGCATTTTTTGAACGAAATTGAAATCTCAACTTTTGGCAAAATTTTCATGAAATTGAGGGTGCGGCGTTCTGAAAACGCCCTGCTCGATGTATGGGGACGACGATATAGTCCACATACATCCAAGGGGTCCGGCGTTTTCCGCCCTGGATGTATGTGGACTTTGGATAAGTCCGGATTCATGAAGGGGATGGGGCATTTTCAGAACGCCGCACCCTCAAATTTCATGAGTTTATTGCCAAAAAAGGAGATTTCAATTTCGTTCAAAAAAATAAAATATGTCCGTTTTAACGAAATCGCTGTTCAGGGGTCTATTGTCCTATGTGAACCATCTGGCCCCTATACGTGTATTATTCTCCCCAAGCGCCCCTCCCCGCCCCCCCACACCTTCGATGCTATATCATGAATACCCAACACCAAGGACCGGATATTCTTAGCGGCGCAGAGTGCCCGGACCGGTTTGTTGCCCCAGTTGACGTCTTTTGACTGCCTATGTGAGTCGTCTGGCCCCTATACGTCTATTTAGTCTCCCCAAGTGGGGCCCCATTTTCGAAAGGCTATACCGTGAATACCCATCACCAAGGACCAGATATTCCTAACGGAGCGGATTGACCGTACTGGTTCGTTACCTCAGTTGACGTCGTTCGACTGGTCCATAAGGGTCTCTGTACTGCCCCCGTAAGGGTGCATCCAGAGTTCCTATTTCTAAGTCGGCCACTCTCAGTGCAGCCCCTTACTTAGCACCTCAGCGACAGCAATACCCTGCACGAGGTCGTTAGAAGGGTCCCTTAGATTCCACCGTGGTACCACCCACCCCTACAGAAGGCCCTAAGTTCCCCATTAAGTCCCTTACATAGGGAGTCCCCTTGGAAGTCCCCCCTCTAGGGTACACAGCTTGACCCATGTGCCCTACACCATCTCGACGATGACCACATTTCATTGCTGAGTCAATGCTGACAGAGTTCGTGTCTGTAATAATGTGCAGCTTCTCCTTCTGGATTTGACCACTCTTTGAACGTCATAGCATATGCACAACCTGGCCTGCAAATTGCCCCGAGTTCAGATACGATTGTGCCTCATTCTCTTTGGGGGAAGACAGAAGATTGGTACTGTGACTCACTCACCACATGGACTTTGTGTCTGCGGCGTGCAGCTTCTGCCAGCGGAGTTTGACATGCTTTGAACGTCATTGCATTTTTACGTTGCAAATTGGCCTGAATACAGGTACAATTGTGGCTCGCTCTATTCGGGGAAAGAAAGTAAATTACGACATTTACTCGTTAGTTTGAGCAGAAGGACACCTCCTGGAGTGCCACGGGCTTTTGGCTTTCACACCTTCGTCCTTTCTTGGTTTCACGTTAAACGTGTTGGGCTTGGGTAAACAAACCTGAGAGGAAAGGCAAGCTGGCAGTCGATCCTCCAGGCATCTGCAGCAATCAATGCTGCTCTCAGGGGTCCTTCGACCGGATGGAAGGAAGTGTGAGGGTGTTCTTGTTGTATATACACGCCTCTGACCATTGGGAGGTGTGGAACGACGGTGTCATGGTCCATGCCATGATTGATATTACTGATTTCTTACTCTATGATGCTGTTCTCTTGCCACATCAAACTGTCCGCAACCTCCTTTATGTCGAAGATCATTCCTCTGGCACCGTAGTGCAGCAGTACAATGTACAGACACTGTGTGACCTTCTCCTTTGCACAGCCACAGACACTGTTGCACTTGGGTGTACTCGCCATCATCTTTGTCACAATCACTACCACGAGATGGTTTCTGCATCCATGTGTGTACAGGATTGTCCCTCCATTCCTGACTGCAGGCACCCTCCTCATCCGGACACTATATGTCCATTTTGTGGCCACGGACGCTATGCTGAATGCATGCTCTTTTGTGGGGGGCGTTCTTCCTTTATTCTGGCCTGCAATAGACATGCTATTTGTCAGGAATGTATGGTTGGCATGCTTMATGCCAGCCGTCGTGGCAGTTGTTGTTTTGAGAATGCTCAGTTAGGTCTTCCATGCGCTCATCCACCCCATCCTTACAATGTGTGTCCTTTCTGTCGTCAAGGACAACCTCATTCTTGAGCTTTTCCCTGTGTTTAACACCTTCCCCTTCACTCTGCCCCTCTCACAGCGTGCAAGTGGGCTGTTATGGCATACGGGGATGGGGGCAGCTCGCGCTCAACTTCATCAACGTGGCGAGCCTTGCACGTGAGAGGCACAGTGGAGGTGGAGTTCAAAGAAGAATGAGAAATTTAATGGTTTCAATCTGCCCTTGTTTTTTCTTTTTCTTTTTATTTTTGCATGTTATCACTGTGCCCGTTTTTTGCTTTTATTCTTTGTTCCGCAAAGTGCGCTCTTTTAGTTTGTAGTGATGTGACAATATATATGTATATTCCTCCTGATGAGTCGGTGAAACTCCGACGAAACAGTTTGTCATAGCCCCTCGTTTGTTGTCCTCTTCTCTCTCTCTGCCTACGGTTTACCGGGCAGTTCTGTTTGTGACGATATATATATATATGATGTGACAATATATATATATATATGTCACAGCCCCTCGTTTGTTGTCCTCTTCTCTCTCTCTGCCTACGGTTTACCGAGCAGTTCTGTTTGTGACGATATATATAATATATATATATATATATGTTTTTCTATTTCATCTTTCTTAGTAGTACGCATCTATCTCATCCTCTCACTAGTCTATGTATAGTACGGGGGAACACCAACCAACCCGGATCTCTCTCCAGCCCACGGGGTATATTTGACTTGCTGGTGGAATAGGAACTGGACTGATGCTCCCCATAATGGATATGGAGCCAGGGCCATAATGACCGTTTTTTTTTTGTGTTTTTTTTTCGAGGACTTTTACTCACTGACCACACTGAACTGGGTGTCTGTGACGTGCAGCTGCTGCCTGCGGAGTTTGACATTCTTTGTACGCATCCTATGTTTGGCCCAGAAAGCGGTAAAGGCAGCTGGAATGGACTTCCGTTGGTGTACGACAAAGTCAGAGTGAGAGAAGGAAAGCTGCGCGACAAGAGGGTCGAGAACTTCCTCCAGATATTTGAGAAAGAGGTATGCTGCACAAGGGGTTAACAGGGGACCGCCACTTTTCAGCCCCAGGTTAACTAACACCCCCAACACCGAAAAGTGCATTTTTAGGGCTCTGTTAACCTCTTCTCTGTACTGGATGGTGAGTTAGTGTGTTAGGTATCTTGATTGGTCTCCTTGTATATGGGCTACACCGTGTCTGTGTCTTGTTCAATACCAGCGGTCCATATCGCAAAACTACATCAATGCTGAGATTGTGTTGGTTCCTAGACAGACCTTCCTCCCGAGAGACGGCAGCCAGATCCGGATTGTTTTTCAGGTTTTCGCCTTTAGTTTTGTTTGTGGTCGTTTGAAAAGCATGCCGAAGTTATGATGTGTGTTGCATGTCGCAGGGCACACTCATGATGACACCTCTACCTTTCTAGTGACCTGTGGAGGCTCGTTCCCTGTGTCAGTTGGTTGACTGGATCGGACCGTGCGAGGTCTTGAGCCCAGGACCTGGAGTTTGGTAAGCCAAATGGGAATAAGTGCAGGTGCGTTGTTTCAGCCTGATGGGACTTAGCATAGGTGACAATTTTAAACCACCAGTACGTCCAGCTATCGGCCACGGGCCCTTTTCAGAGGCTGCCCGCCGCCGATCTACGGCGCTGGGCCTCCGAACATTTCGTAGGCGACGAGTTTTCTTTTCGGCAAGGCTGGGGCCGTGTACTGGCGGTCTAAGTGGTAGTGAACATAGCTAGCCTTACGCCGTGTAGGCTGGGTCTTGAACCCAGGACGTGGATTCTGGTGGGTCGAATGTTAATAAGCTTGGGCACATTGTTTGAGCCTGGCAGTGGAGTTTCAATAGCACATGTGCAAGTCTTCAAACAGTAAGGAGCAAATATTTTTTAGTGGATATGATTACCAGTGGGAAAAAACGCCATATTTTCAGAGCTACTCGCTATGCAAAGTGCGAAAAAGGTAAGGGCGGGGGGCGACGTGAAAAATTGCCTTTTTGATCCAGATGAGGCAAATCTCAATGTTTTCTTTACCTTTTGTGGGAGCATGCAAAAAAAGGTTTCCCACCCTGAAGACATCCTTGTTTCTTAGTGTCCCGAGGCCCTCTGAGAGAACGAGGGCCCTTGGGCAGAAAATAATGAGAGAGCATTCAAAACATAAAAAGCAGTTGAAGTTTGGTCAAGAAGGGTCAGTAGTCGAAAGGTAGTGTGCTGATGTGTGTAGAATGTCTCTCGGGGCCGATTAGCTCGCTGATGACACCTCAAGGTCGTCCCCCTTTTTCAAAAATCTCTCTCATCTCACATAATCGGTTTACAAGTCTCGAGGACTCGGTCTGAATCTCTGTTCATGTGAAAAGTCATTGGGAGGGGGGTCCTGAGCCCGCTGTCTTGTGCCAGGATAAGGTTGCAGCTGGCACGGCTCTGGAGCATCTACGGTTGGCTGGCTGACATTAGATCTGTGCCGAAAAGTTGTTGCTAGGGGGGGTCCTGAGGCCGCTGTCTTGTGCCAGGGTAAGGTTGCAGATGGCACGGATCTGGAGCATCTACGGTTGGCTGGCAGGGATTAGATCTGTGCCTGCTGTCTGCGAGCCAGCAGCTGGGCTACAGTGCATTCGGCTACTAGGGGCAGGCACTCCTTGGGGGGGGACGGCCTGATAAATTGTACCCGTTGGGGATAGGCGGTTCTTGATGAGAACGGAATGGCTGCTCGCAGCACCTTAGGGGGACCGAGGGTGATGCCTCTGCGACTGGGTACCGTGAAGGTCGCCTGGTGCAGGATACTCTCAACGTGTAACCCTGAGGTGAGGCGGGTTGGTACCTGCGATGCTCTTGAGCTGAAATGCCAACTGCCCTATTCTTCCTCTTTTTTTTTTTTTTTTTTTTATTTATTTATTTAGAACAGGTCCTTATGGTCCTGGCTCCATATCCATTCTGGGGAGCATCAGTCCGGTTCCTCTCCACCGGCAAGTCAAACAATGGAATACATGGTGAACACTCTCACGCTTCCTTCCGTCTGGCCTAAGGAACCCTGACCAGCATTGATTGCTCCATATCCGGAGGATTGACTGTCAGCTTGCCCTACCCCTTTTCCTCTCAGAATCTATTGTGACTCTGTCACATGATTCGTATAAAGCAAGAACAGAGGAGAGTTGTCTATCCTGTTTAGATTATCATCTCAGTTTGCCCCTCACTGGGTTACCGTCCGTGTTGGAGGTGGACTGTGCCACTTCTTCCAAATCAATCTGTTGTCTGACACAGTTGCTATCTTTCCCTGTAAAAGCCAGTTTCTCGTGAAGATCCGTCTCTTGACGGCTATCCTTTCTGGTCTGACCTTCGTTGTTGATATCGCCTCCCGCCATCTGGATCGAATCTCCGTTTCAGCCATTCCCAGTAGTAGAACCCACATTTCTTCTCTTGCCACCTCGGTACCTTCAATAGTCTTGGTACATCTCCTTTTCCAAATTACCCATAGGGCCAGCTTCCTGAGCAGGTGAAACCAGACTTCTTTCCCGCCCTTGAGATTGTTAGTATTGTTGGATAGGAGCAGGATGTTCAGGGGGGGTGTGGGCGGGGGGGGTGATGAGAAGAGGAGGGACCATAGATCGTGTACCTTGTTCCATATCCATGCTGCTTCCGTGCAGTACAGGAGGCAGTGAGGTATATCTTCCGGGCTGTTGGCTGTGCATAGCCTGCATGGTTCAGAGCTGTCAGGGTCCGTATGTTTCCTCCTCTTGTGGAGCCATTGATTGACCGGCAGCGATGTGTGCGCTAAGAGCCATTGCATGCTTCGAATCCTAACCGGTCTGATGGACAGGTACTTCGTCCATGGGATGGAAATGGGGTCTGTGGGGTCCAGATTCAGGATCTCCCTCCACTTTCCTTCGAGTCTGGGGTCCGGATCTGTGGTTTGTAGACCCAACTCATACCCGAATTTGACATCATATTCAAATATCGTTCTTGTTCTCCCGGATTTGCCCTGCTTCCATACCCACTCTTTCGGGTTGAATTCGAGGTCACAAATGCTTAGGTTAGGTTGGAAGATTTTCCAGGGTTTGGCCTTTGAGACCCTAACTTTTCTCAGTCGGAAGGTTTCTAGTGTGTCGCACTGGGGATCTTTGTTCTGGATTTCCAGCTCTTCTAGGTTGTGATTAGCGATGGGGTATGAGTAGAACTTAGATAGGTAGCTGAGTGGGTTGGTTCGAGAGACGAATCGATATGCTCTGGTAGGCTGGGTTTGGGAGATGAGTATGCCCCAATCCCCAGTTTTCCACGAAAAGKYCTCCCTTAGGAGGGAGAGCCATTGTGATGGAATACTCTTTTGGATCGTCGCTAGGTTCTCAGCGAGGGAGTGACAGCCTTTTAGGACATTTCGTAGTTCCTGTTCGGTGACCCATCGTCCTTGGTCCTCTACCCAGATGTGTTTTACYTGCCACACACCTTTTTCCACCCAGGATMGCCATCTTCGGTCCTTTGCGCGTAGTGTCCAYRTGACTCCGCTAGGGTCGGTGATCCAAGGGTTGCAGAAGAGAGGTTGTCTCAGGACCTCTTCTTTGTTTCCTGGTGAACCGTGTTTACTTGGCATCAGTCCCCGCCAGGCTTTGATGACTGGACTCCAATATGAGATGGCTGTTTGAGTGGGAATTATTCTGAAAGTGTACACCATTAAAAAATAAATAAATAAAATTGTGAATTTCTGACACAACCCTGAGGCATAGCATCTCGTCCAGAACGTCCCAGGCCCAGCCTCACTTTTGTTATGGATCTCAGCCATCCATTTATCAAATTCAACCCCATGCAGTTCACAATGCCCTCCTCACCTGAATAGAACATGCAGCTACTCTGGCTGTTTCTAGACTGAAAGTTTCTCCTTATACTGCTGAAATGACTGTAGGTTCTCTCAGGGTGAAGACAGTACAAATCTTGGGGCAGGCCCAGTCAAAGCGGGCTCTAGAGTTGGCACTCTGGGGCATTGGGCTGATTATGCTGGAGGCGGAGGGACAGCCGCACTGCCTTCAGTAACAGTGGCAGCAGGAGCACATCAAGGCAGGCTGCAGCTGTAGCAAGGTGGAAGGAGGAACTTGGGGGTACCCATATCCAGGGAGCAGTAAGAGGGAGGATACGTGTGCTCACGAGGAAGACCGTGCGAAACTGCCCGTTGTAGGATGGCCTTTGCATTGTGCGGAAGACCTGTGTTGTGGGATGAGGCACAGCTTATCCAGAAACTGCCGCAGTTTGGAAGGATTTAAGAAGTGAGCAGCAGGCCCCATTTAGACGTCGGAGAAGGCAAAAATGCTCACCTATCGAGGGCCGGCATTCCTTGCGCTTGCAACACAAGAGTCTATATGCTGTCTTTGGCAGTCGCGCCCAATTGTTGCGGCATTGATTAATCCCTTGATTAAACCACCAGTACACCACGTATCGGCCCGCAGGTGTCAGCATGAAACCCTCACCACTTCGGAGGCCACCGATTTTTTTTTTCAACGGCGGGCCTAGCCGTGCGGCGCCTCCGAGTTTTGCTTGCGGTGACAAAAACTTTCTGCAAGGCTGGGGCCATGTACAGTAGGGTAGGCTATCAGAGCTGAACACTCAGAAAAGGTGTCAAACATATTCACAAGTACTAAAGTAGGTGCTAAAGAGAAATAGTCACATATGCTATCATGAATAAAAGTTACCTCTATGCCGTCTATGCTGGCAATGACAGTGATGATGGTGATGGATGTGTGTGTTGGGGGGGAGAGGGGGGGGGGAGGGGGTTGCCTTCTTTGCAAGGCTGTCAAATGGTGCAGATGTCCTTTGAGGAGCATGACAGATATGCTGCCAGCACACAGTAGTTTATCACCACACTGTGGGACGGCGGGTGGTTATCACCCTGTCCTTGCTCTGCAACACTTTACTCTGTCATCACTTACATGTTTGGGGAAATTTTTGCTTGTGTATGTGTGTGTGTGTGGTGGGGGTTGGGGGGTGGGGGAGGTGGTTGCCTTCATTGCAGGGCTGTCAAATGGTGGAGATGTCCTGTGAGGAGCATGATAGATATGCTGCCAGCACACAGTTTATCACCCACACTGTGGGACGGTGGGTGGCTATCTCTGTCCTTTTTCTGCGACACTGAACTCTGTCGTCACTTATATGTTTCGGGAAATTTTCACTTGTGTGTTTCTACACCACAAAGCGATGAGGCACCTTTTGCGGTATACACCTGCCCCAGGCAGAGGAATCGAAGCTGCCACCTTTCTTTTGTCTTGCAACCATTGGAAGACCAAACTGACGGAATCCGAAGATGCCCCTCTGCAGATGTCATTGCAAAAAGTTCCGGCGTCAGATTCCGTCAGTTTGATCTGTTCATCCCATTCTTTTTGCCTTGTTGGATGAAACAGTTCACAATGCACATGTATATAAATGGCTATGGTGAACGCTCTTCCTTTATTTTGGCCTGGAATCGACATGCCATGTGTCGGGGGTGTATGGTGGGCGTGCTTGATGCCAGCCGTCGTGGCAATTGTTGTACTGAGAATGCTCAGCTGTAGGTCTTCCATGTGTTCATCCACCTCGTCCTTACAATGTATGTCCTCTCTGTCGGCAAGGACAGACTCATTTTTGAACCTTTTCTTCTCCTCTCCTTTGCCTTCATCTTCATTCCACACTCTGTACTTTCCCTTACTTTCCCTTTGTAGTTCCTTGTCTGTCTTCTCTCTCTCTCTCTCTTCCCTGTTTTTATCCCCCCCTCCTTTACTCTGCCTCTTTTCTCACAGCGCACAAGTGGGCCGTTATGGCACACGGGGATGCGGGCAGCTCGCGCTCAACTTCATCAATGTGGCGAGCCTTGTACGTGAGAGCCACGGCGAAGGGGGAGTTAAAAGAAGAATGAGAAAAATTAATGGAATATATATGGCTATGTTCACTGGGAAGTTCTGAATGGTGATGTATTCATATGTATATAGTATATACTATGTACCATACAGCCTCCTGATGAGTCGGTGAAACTCCGACGAAACAGTTTGTCACAGCCCCTCGTTTGTTGTCCTCTTCTCTCTCTCTGCGTACGGTTTTACCGGGCAGTTCTGTTTGTGACGATAAATATTATATCTGTTTGACTATATATATAGGTTGGTATTTGAATGGGAATTGATGCTCATTTAGTTCAGAATAACCAAATAAATAATATAAATAATTTGAAATGTAGAAGCATACTTGCGGCGCATGTATGCAGTGCGCTGTGCGTGTTGCGCTGTGCGTGTTGCGCTGGTGCATGATGTGCGCGCAGGTGCATACCGCGCGCACTGTGCGCGTGTGGACAGTTGCGCTGGAGTACGCGCGACTGGGCGCCGTGCGTGCCCTTCTTTTTTTTGTGTGCGTGTGTCGCCAAAAGAAGACGGAAAAAAAAAGAGTCGTTTTCCTTTCGGTGATGCCCGTCTCATATCGACGGACACAACAGGTTCTGGACGCAGGGTGTTTTGTCCAGCCCGATATGCCCATGGTTTTTACTTTTTTTTTTTTTTTTTTTTTCCCTGCCTAAAGGCCACGGCCCGTTGGTGAACAAGGCGTTTCGGAGGGCGTACTCACACAAGCTTGTATCGGACTGGCTGGACCCTGATGTATATGACTGCAATTACGTCCATAAGGACAGTAAAAGAGTCCGAACGTTGAGCGAGGCTGTGGGCCTTGATCCACTACTCACCAAATGTGCAAAATGAGAATGAATCTTCCGCTAGAACATGGAAACATAAACCGCCATATCTTTTGTTGTTTGCGCCATGTGGAGAGTAGTGGAGTGAGGCCCTACAACGTGCACTGGACACATTTCTCGTTTCAACAGGAGGCCCGTTGTGTTTTGACAGAGTTCAACTCTAAGAGACAAAACTGGACACGTGTCCTCGTTTCAACGGGCACTGGACACGTGCAGGGACTTGGGAACAACCGTCCCTCACCATGGATTAAGGGGCATGTAAGCCGTAATAGCCCTTTGTGACTGGAAAAGACAGCAACATGGTAGGAGCCAGACAATCATGTCCAATCTGCAGGCAGGCTGAGCAACCGCAATGCCTATACAATTGTGGTCAGTGTGCCTCTGTGTTCCTAGCATGTAGGAGCCACAGAGCCTGTCAAATCTTTCTACGCCATGGCATTTGATGCAGCAACTGCAACTGCAAGAATTGGAGGCGGCACTTCCACAGTCCACACCCGAACCGGTCCTGTCCAGTCTGCAGGGGTGCCTCGTACCATAGGCAACAGCAGCTCCTCAACTCAAAATCTCCTGCAAACCAAACACAGACTGGGCTTTTGTGCTATTCTAGAGAAGTCCGCTCCAGCTGTGAGTATTCAGAACCCTGTGAAGTTCATGTTTCCTCTCTTTTGTTCTTTGCCCCTCCACTTCCCTCCTCTACCCCTTCTCCCTCCCTGGCCCTCGCTTCCAATAGAACTCCACCCCCTACTCCTTTCCGTCTTCCTTCCTCTTGCATACTATGAGTCAATGCATGCGAATGAGCATCGTTTAGAGCTGGAACAGAATTTAAGCGGAAGATCTGAAGAGAAGTGAAGGTGAATATACCTCGCCCTTTACTCAGCCCTGCTTTCATAACGTGCGAGTGAGCCGTTAAGGCACACAGGGATGTGGGCAGCTGGCGCTAAACCAAAATCTATGTGGCCAGCCTTGTGTGTGAGAGGCGCTGTAGAAAGGGAGCTGCAAGAACAAATAGAACCGGTACCCCATGAAAATCACAGTAAAGATAGTCAAGAAAGTGATAGTTCATATAACAGATCTATTCTGCCCCACGTTGCTTGCTATAGAAGTAAAACTGTTTCGTCGTTGGAATGGCTCATCTCAAGTGTGCTTGGTTGTCTGCTACAGAGGTAAAGCTGCTCCGATTTTGGATCTACTTGTCTGGGTCTAACAGGATCTACTCATCTGGGTGAAACAGGGGCTGTTGTGGTGAAATTCTATGACACACGCACACATACACACACACACACACATTCAACCTCCTGACGAGTCGGTGAAAGTCTGACGAAACAGTCTGGCACAGCCATGCTTTTTTTAGTGTATAGCTAGGCTACCAGCTGGGCCGCCCGGGTCACCTTGTTTTCCTGGGCAGCCCAACTGTGTAAGGGCCAGGGAAGGTCCCAGCAAAAAAAATTATAAAAAAATCCCGGGAAAAAAGAACTGTGCACTGACCAGGGAAGGTCCCAGCAAAAAAATAAAAATAAAAAAAATAGACAACCAAAATTCCGAAAAAAAACAAAAAAAAAATAGACAACCAAAATTCCGAAAAAAAACTATGTTATGCAGAAAAATAAACTGGACAACTTTTGCCTCAGGGTCACATGAACAGGATCTGTTCTGTAGGTCGTACGCTTTCCTGTATCTACGAATACAGATGCCTTGTCAAGCCTCGAGGATGAGCTGAGACTTCCGCTCCAGAGCGCAAATGCCAGGTGGGGTGGGTGCTTTGGCACTCACTCGCCGTTGATGAATGCACTCCTTGACTGACGTCAAGGGGTATCGGGGTGGGAGATTTCTGACAGGAGAAGAAATGCTTTACCAGATTTAAAGTAAAAAATAAATCAAAAATAAATCAAAAAATCATTATTAGTTTTTTCTTTTTTATTTTTTTGGCCCGGCCGTGCAAGTGGTCCCTCGCCACTCTGGTAGCCTAGAAGAATCACGTTAAAAAATATTTTTTTCATTTTTATTTGGCGCGGCCAGCCAAGTGGTCCCGGGCCACTCTGGTAGCGTAGGTGTATAGCGAATATGACAACACGCAGTCAAAGCTCGCAAGTAAGCATATGGCATACATAACAAGATCGGTTGATAACAAGAAAATATTCACAAAACACTCCAAACGAACTGAGAAGTTAGAACTGGAATCTTTGGCAAACAAATCAACAGGCCATGGGACGGCATTTTCTCAGAAAAGTTGGACTTCTCGCCGATCTCGGACTACAACTGTGTGGGTCATTCCACCCAGCACAAAACAAAAAAAAACAAAATGCGGAGAGGTAACGTCTCCACAAAGAAAACACTCGCAGTAAAAGAAAAAGGAACTCCTGTTTTCTTGCAAGGAAAGCTGGAGCAGGTCATCTAGTACTGAGTGAGCAGCAGTCCCAGTCTCCAGAGCTTGGATCAGTACAAGCTGTCAATTCCGTGTTGTGTCTGTCCTCGCAGTCTACTTTTGTGTGAGGTGTGCAGATACCCGTGCGCATGCGCCAAACCTCCTCGTGCCATTTTGTTTGTACGAGATGACTTAGCTTTGTTCGCTGTTTGTATTGGTTTGAAAGTTGCGGAGCAAGAAGATGACGATAAACTGTTGAACGCTGTTTGAGTGTTGTCGTTACACCACCTTCATCAGTGTTTGTTTTGGTTGGAAGTTGCAGAGCAAGAAGAGAACGATCAGCTGTGAAAAAAGATATGTCCATAGTGTGTTGTCGTTACGCCACCCTCATCTTCTTCCTGGCATAACATCTGCGTCTCATCAATGGGGTGAATGCTGAGACTGTTGTGGTGAACGATACTTTGCTCAACTGGGTTGTTGTTGTGTCTGCAGGGTCCTTGGGAAGTTTGGACTGGAGTCGACGCCTATCAACACGAAGGGTTATGAAACACTGTTGAATCTGGTGGGTCTGTCTTACTGGTTGGTTTGGGTCATGCGAGCCTCTCTGTTTTCCCTTGTTCGATTCCATTACTCAATGATACAGTTATTCACAACAGCGTTTGTTTTTCCCACTAGCATGGATATGAGACCTTATGGAGCACAACTTCACTTGTGGCAGAGCTGAAAGCAGTTTGGATCGTGTGTGGGAACTGGTGAGGTGTTATGATCCTCGCCACCTAGAAATGCAATAACTCAAATAACGACAATGACATTCAATTGCAACTGAAATGAAAGAACTTGGAATGAAAACAAACTTTAAAAAACAGACAATGGAAGAAGAAGAACTAAGAATGGAAGAAGAAGAACTAAGAATGGAAGAAGAAGAAGAAGCTGTACGGCAGCAAAGACCAATGTCAAATCCCCCTCCGAGTCGCCATCACGTTCAGCAATGAAAACTAAAGCATGTTGTGCACCCCCCTTTTCCCAAGGAAAAGAACAAAAAGAAATGACATTTTGGGTGCAACCTCCTTGTGACTAGGAAGTGCACCTCCAGATGCTGCTGATCTAAGGATCTCCTTAGCATGCATGGGACTCGAGTCACTCAAACCTTCAATTGAACTAACGGTCGCTGAGGTCATCAACAAGGAATAAGGACTCTATAGACCATCTGCATAACCACATGGCGGACTACTGAAGGTGGCTGTGCCCTGTCTAGCATCCAACCTCTACAACAACCTGGGCTTTTTTATAAGGGGAAGAAAAAAAGTAGTAGTTCTTGCCACCTGGGGCTTTCTCATGAACAATTGATTCTCTTGCTGGTTGATCAACCGACAGGTGGAGAACACTCAAGGAGATAGTTTTGATCTCTACTATGGGCTGTTTATGTACAACATCAATGCTACGGAGGAGGTACGAGAACCCTAACCCTAGATATCTCCCTGTTCGCTCTTTCGTGTGTGCAACTGCCATGAAAATCATATTTGGCATGTGAATGATCCAACGTTGTTTTAAACCTTTGTTTTCCCCTCCTTTTTCTTTCTTTTTGTTTCTCTTTGTCTGGCATTCTTTTTTTTCTTTTTTACAAGACCCCTTGCGTGACCCCACCCACACCCCCTCTGGTCAATTCTCCCTTGCAGACCCTCCAACTCCCTCAGTGTCTACCAGTCAGCACAATCAATCTTTGACCGTTTCTTAGTGGATGACCTGCTGGACAGCGGTAGCAGGCACTACACTAAGGAAGATGTCCTATCCAGCCTTGGTTGAAGCATGTTCGAACGAGCCCTGTCATACAGGTACTTTTGATGCCATGTGCGAACTTTAATCTACAGGGCCCGTGAGTAGACCCTAGATGCCCCCCAAAATTATGTACCCAGGCCCCTTATATCAAAACGTTATTCCCTAGCTACCACATGCAGCGTCGAATTGCCCAGTCCAAGGTCTAACCTATGAAAGCCACTGAACTACCGAAGTACACCCTTGTAGCACAGATGTTCTGTTGATCTTATTGTGGGTAGTGTCGTTGTTAATGTTCGGTTGTGGTTGTCTTCGTTGTTGTTCTGGTCACTCTAGCCTCTGTAGCGGGACCCCAGACCCCTGATCCCCAGCCCCTGCAACCCTGCCCCTTAGCCCGCACTCTTCGACCTCCCCCCCGACCCCGCAACCCACCCGGAAACCCTGGCCTCGACCCCGCAGCCCCACACCACTGCAACCCCACCCCAGAACCCTCAACCCCGCGCATGAGTGCGGGGTCGGGGCCAAGGTTTCGGGGTGGGTCCTGCGGTGGAGTTGCACTGGTGTGAGGCTGCGGGGTCGGGGCTAGGCCGAGAAACGAGCGGATCGGTAACGTTCTTTGGTTCCGGCCACTCTTAGACGGCCTGAATCTTGTCCGATAACGGACTAATGCCCTCCGGTGCAGCTATCCAGCAAAGCGCTGCAGGACGCTTGCCCAATCTGGATGCGGACATAAAGGAGCGGTGCGTTGTTGTTGTCGTACCGCTGCGTACAAAACTCGTGTGCCACCTTGGAGATATACGCAAGGAGGTCCCCCACCATGACTTCGTCATTCGTCGGCGAGGTTGGTGGTGCATAGAAGGACAAATATGTGTGCAAATGGGCACATAGTGCTGCACATTGCTGTCCCGGTATCAGCCTGTGGAAGGGAGAGGAAGCCATGCAAAGTCCTCGGGCGACAACGGGTCCAAGACCTCCACGTTGAACTCCCATGCCGAATCCCTTGAATAACCACTTGAAGACGACGAAATGCACCGCTACCGGACGGAGAGGAAACCGCGCACACACCTTGTCCTTGAGCTAGAGAACCCAGTGGTGGAATGAGCCAGGCAGCATAGTCCTCGAAAGAATGAAGAGGAGGACTCATGACTTCCACGTGTGCCTCGGAATTAAGGGAGGTTGCTTGCGAAGCAACCGGTTCCGAAGGCGCCGAGAGTGCAGCCGTATCACTCTCGGTGGTGCTCACTTTCCCGAATGGGATTTCCCCTTGGCTTTCACGGGACAGTTTGCGGTGTTGCGTGTGTCGCTGTTGCACCACAAACAATATTGGTACTTGGAGCAGATCTTGTAGACGCCCTCCAAGATGCCATAATGGAGCCAAGGTTCTTGAGCTGCTGTGCCGGTCCCGGGGGATGAAGAGGTGGAAGGCTCAAAACGTGGCCTTTGTCCGAACAGACTGTAAGTCTGTTCGGACGATTTGCAAGTCCAAAACGACGTCTGCAACAGACAGAAATAGAACAGCAAATAAATAAATAAATGCTGCCTCAAATCGATCCCTGCGGCCCCAAAGGCTGGCCGTTGGCCTCAAGGGCGCGTGCCTAAATGGCGTGCGGCCTGGGGCCCCCCAGCAACCATCGGCCCCCAGAAATGGGGCCCGTGTGCAGGCTCAGCATCTAACACCCCCTGTGGCCCCCCATGTACCTCCCCATCCCCCACAGTGGCCACCACTCCACCCAGCTTCCCCCCCCTGGCCCTGTGCTCATTCGCTCACGGCCCGGCCCCACACTCTGTGCACCCCACCGACCCCCTGGGACCCTTCTGCACGCCCACCCCCCAGAACCCCACCCCTGCATGCCCTCTCCTGGGGACCCCATCCCCATGCGCCCAGTCCCGGCTCCAACTCCAGCCCCGCCCAGTGCACCCCACCCTCGGCCCTGCCCCTGCACCCCCGGTTGTGACATCGGCCCCTCCATCTCATTCCCGTGGCCATGCCTGGGCCTAGGCCAGCGCCACCTGCGCTTTGCACCACCAGATCAATTCCCACCACCGATCGCTGCACGCAGCCTCAGACCTGGCCCCTGGCCCCGGCCCAGAGTGCCCTCTTCCACACTGGGTTGATCTGGCCCGCTCCTTCACCCCAGCCAACCCCGCCCCTGTCATGGCTGGTGTTACCAGAGCTGCATCCCTGGGGGGGAGGGCACTCTCCCAAGAAACACACACAGAAAAGAAAAGCCAGGGGGATGCTGCCACCATTTCACATGTACATTTGGCTTCCCTTTTTGCAATGCTGCTTTTGTGACGTTTCTGTCCAGTGGATCCCCCCTCCCCCCTGCCCCCTGTCTTCCTGATGGACCTTGCTTGTTGCATCTGGTGCCAGCTGTGAAATGGTGTACTGACCAGTTAATGGTGTGCTTGTATTGATTGCTGTTTACCTCTTTTCTATAGCTGGAACGCCTGGAGAGAGCGTTTGACTCTGTCAAGAAGCAGCTGTTTGACCAGCTACATTTCATTTTACGAGGTCAGCTGTTTGGGCCTAAGGGTCAGCAGACATCAGCCACACTCCTAGATTCCAGCAGTACAACTGCAAAGTCTTCTGATGCCGAAGTGGTTGCGCTTGAGAGCCTTCCACAAAATCTGCAAAAGCTCACACTGCACACGGGCAATGATGACAAGGGTCTTGGAGTAGAGAGCGGCAGAGAAGGCAGCCAGGAAAAATTGCCAGTTGAATCGCTCAATGTGCGAGAGCATGGAAGCCTTCCCAAAGTCCCAGATAACAAAATAGCTCTGCTACCAAGCAAAGCTCCTCTAAGGGAAGAAACAGAACTGACTGGGCCAGGCGATCAGGCACACACCATTCCCCGACCTTCGTGAGATCCAGGAATGTACCTATCATTTTTTTTGCCTCTGTCCTAGTTTTGCGCGTGTGACTGTGTGCCGTGTGCCATCACAGGTGCGCCCAGGGCAATGGACGTCGGAGGCGTAGCTGTTTTTTCAATTGCTGGCAGCCTTTTCTGTCATTCAAGATTCACTCCCAAACAGTTGTTTCAAAGTTGCAGGCAGTCTTTGCTGACACAAAAGCTACAGTGCCGAAGAATCGCTTCCGATTGGAGGCAGTCTTTTCCGCCACATTTCCAATGAGTTTTTTTTCTGATTGCAGGGCAGTCTTTTCTGCCAGCCACTAAGGCCACACTTCTGATGGCTTGAGTGCAAGAAGCTGTGGAAGAAGGTTGCTGCCACGGCGACCAGTAACTTACTCTTTTTTGCTGTTATGTGCTTGTGGTTTGCCCATTGTGCGAGTCACGCACAAGCATCAGCGGCTCGTTGATCTGGGGTATCCGACTTGCCCGCCATGAGAATGAAGGACTCATTGAAAAACACTTGTAATTTGTCGGCCTTGGAGGATATAACAGCCGTCTCACTGTAGGCAATTCATGTCGATCGACTTCTGAATACACAACACTTCATCACTGGGCTCGTGCACTATCTTCGGGTGTTGGACTGAACTGTCAGAGTGATCATTGTTTCCTCTACTGAAGATGCTCATCAGTCAACTTTCCGCTGGATGAAAGGTCAGGCACACGGAGTTGGTAAAGTTCCTTGAGACAGGGAAGAGAAGAAGGAACAGATCTACTTGCAGGGCCCAAAGTTGGGGTGCACATTTTGGCCCCAGGTGTGAAGTTGTGAACCATGGGTACAATGTGGAGGGACTTTTATGGCCTTCCATTTCTGCTGAGGCATTTCAGGAATAAATATGAACGTCTGATATTGTTTATGGAATTTTGTGTTCCGGGCCTCTTGACCTTTAGGGCCTTTTCTCTGGGGAGGAGGGCGGGGGAGGGAAGGGGATATCGTGAAAAATAAGTAGGTGGTATGAACAAGTTTTGGGCGGGAGTAAAATAAAGTCTCTTCGCAGGCTTCAGTAACAAAATCAGATTTCCTTTTCTTTTTCTTCCTAGGGATGGGTCGAGATGTTCACACCACCTTGAGACCCACATTGGACCTGTCTGGTCTGATTGGGGCCGGCAGCTGAGCCTGGCCTGTCCAATGACTGCAAGCACTGTGAGAGTGTGAGTTACTTTCTGGAAAATCCTATCAGTCCCCTTTTTCTTTATCGTTACACTGTTGTTTTTAGCCCTTCGAGAAGGGATAGACGCAACGCTTTTCTTGACACACACACATGCACACACACAGTTCTGGACGGTTGATGATCTGTTTCTGGTCAACACACAGTTTTTTTTTTGAACCGTCGATGATCTTTTTCTGGTCAGCGTGGATCGTTTGTGCGAAGCGGCCATGTGTCGCCTCAAGCCCGGTCAGCCAGCCGTTATCTCCAGATTTACGGACTGCAAACAATATTTCCCAAGTGTCAGGCCATGCAGCCAGTTCTGATTTCACACTGCACACAGCCACAATCAAGAAGAGGAGTGAATGTTGGTGGCAGAAGTGGAAGATGTGAAGGGCCTTGGTGAAACTCTCCTTAAACCACTAGTACCTTTGCCCTCTCGTTTCGGCAAGTTTTAGCCTATTCCGGAACTTTTAGGAGGCCGGGCCCGGCAACAGCTGCCGTTGATATATATCTGATCGGCGGCCGTCGTTTCGTTTCGGCCTCCTGAAAGGTCGGAGGCCCACTCACTATTTTCCGAACCGGCAAAGGTACTAGTGGTTTAATGTTCAAACTTCAAATCACAATCATTTATGTGAAGATAACTTCAGCAGGACACAGAGCAGAACGCAAGAAGATAAGGAGGTTGGTCGATGGAGTGCCTTTTGAATGGCACTTGGGAGTCTGTGATGGCGGCAATTACTATGGGACACGTACGCTGTGTTTTGGGGTTTTGAATCCCCTCTTTGGGTCTCCTACTGGTGATGGGTCAGCCATGTGTTTAAGAGACGCAATGCTTCCGGCGGGAAGACGTTGATCGCCTCCCTTGATTTTGGAATGGTATTTGTTATGCGCAGTAGAGTATTCATTTGAGAAAGCGGGATTATCATTACCGCCAGAAAGGCAGCAGTTTTGTCAATCGTGGTGGCAATGATTTCTGACGAAGACCGAAGAGAAATGGAAGATGAAGGCATGGATATTCGTAATCGGGAGGCTTGGGATGTTTGCGCACGTGACCCTTTCCTAACCCATATCTCCAAGGAAGCCAGGACTCAGTGAGTAGTCCACTGGACTGTGATGAAGACTACATCACGACAGAGTTTACCTGCTGCTGGGGAGGTGAACCTTGCAGTCATACAGAGTGGATTTGGCGACTGTTACACTCTGTGATGGAGACAGCATTGTGTATGGCAGGTTTCACAGCTCGGTTACACAGATCCCAGCGGCATTACCACCACAGTGGGCATGTGCATCTGCGCTGTTCAACGGCTCTAGGCAGTAGTTTCTTCATTGAAGGTAGGACGGCAGCAGTATGTGGTACCTTCGCGGTTCGATGGATATGGAATGCCTTCCATGGTTCAAATATGGCACAGCTGGAAAAGATAACTACTGAATCACTGGCTGTTTCCGAGTCCGAGGTGGCATTTTCCACTACCTGCATAACATCCACGCACAGAGAACACGTGCCTCTGTATGTGTGTGTGAAAGAGAGGGAGGGAGGGTCCGACAGAGGTCTGTGAGTCGGGATGCTCTGAGAGAGAGAGAGAGAGAGAGAGAGAGAGAGAGAGAGAGAGAGAGAGAGAGAGAGAGAGAGAGAGAGAGAGAGAGAGGGCCCGACAGAGGTCTGGGAGTTAGGATGCTCTGTGTGTGTGTGTGTGTGTGTGTGTGTGTGTGTGAGAGAGAGAGAGAGAGAGTCTCCACAGTGAAAGCTATGGAGTGGTTTCCATATCATTTTCGTGTGCTTGAAAGGTTGTGATTGATCAAGGAGATGGATGTCACTTGTAGCAGCCTCGCTCTGCCTGCAGAATAGTAGCTCCATTGTGGCCACTGAGGCAGGAAGTAGGGGCTCGGTAACGAGAGTGCACGAGTGGTCTCTTCTGAGAAGGATATCTATCCATGATGGTGGCTTTTCCTGACCAGAAAGGATAAGGAGAAGTCCCTTTCTGAGATCCTTCCTTTACTTGATTTCGCATAAGCAAGCACTTCATGATGCAGTCAGCGAAATGAACGGAGAGAGATGAGCTAGTGATGCAAATTGGGTGTGTTGTACCGAGTCCTCCAATTCCAACTGTGGCCACTGAAAAACCCCATTCAGCACCTGAAATCTTAGTATTAATGCGAGATGGCAGACATATGCATATGGAAAGAGTGTTTTTTTTTTTCTTTTTTCGGTATTTTGCTTTTCTTTGGCATTGTGTGCAAGGAATATGAGCGAGAGTGATAGACAGAAATCCAAATTGCAAAATCACACAGTAGCCCAGATAGTCGTACACCAAGAGGAAAGCACAATGCACTGAGGTACAGCGAAATAAGAGCAAAACAATGAACTCAAATGCCGACGTCGACACTCTCTCGCCACGTCAACGAAGTATCCAATGTCGCTCTTCTCGATTGGCGCTCAGCGCCCAGCCTATCCTACTCAGCCTACTCTAGCCTACACTACGTTCATGGAACAGGATTCGCTTCAATTCTGCAGACCAGTGTACGTGACGACGTCGACTATGCAGACTGCCAGCATACACCAGGTACATATCTCTCTCCTCGCACTTCTTCCCTCGACTCCCCTCAGCCTGTCACCCGAAGACCACCATCCCCAACACCCCCTCCAGCCCAGCTATGGCCACCTAGCGCCCGCTTCCGCAGCGGCACCCTTCACCTTCAGCGCCCGTGCACGCCCTGGAGCGAGTGTCCTCGACGCTTGCACCGCAAAGCAGCAGTGCTTCCGCATCTGCTTGCCAGCCAGAATGTGCTGGCTGCTGGGCGCTCACTTTCCTTTATGGAAAGCGAGCCCTGCCTTTGGCCTGGGTGGGCCTGGCGTGCACGGGCCCAGTAGCTTCTCGTCAGCCAACGAGTCTGTGCCGAGGCCAATTCAGACAGTTGTCTGGGCCCGCAGCTTCAAGGTGCGCCCAACCACCCCACGGAGTCTGGGACGTGTTCCCTGGTTTCTGATACGCCGAAAGGCCAGCTTCCCCATCAAAGCTTCCGGGAGACTGGAAGCTTTCTCGAAGATTCAGATTCTCATGACTGGAAGCTTTCTCGAAGATTCAGATTCTCATGAGCAGGGCATTTGCAACCAACTGGTGCGGGGCAACTCTCTGGCGCCCAACTCATAGATTTGGCAGATTTGGGGCCCCTTGACGATTCTCAGCCCCACCTTCACTTAGGGCGGGTGACTTACCTGCTAGGGGCCCCTTACGCAACCGGAGGCCGTGGCCCGCCATGTGAGGGCTAATTCCTCGCATTCCATCTTACGCAGGTGCTTTCCCCTTCAACTTTCGTTCGTACTCTGCTATGACCTGAGATGCTGTCTTGACCAGCTCCTCTTTTGTGAACCAACGGTCCTCCTTTGGATCCGTATGATGCCTGAATCTGACCTAGTACTCCCTTGTAGGTATTGGCGGTCTTCCCCTGGCCACAGGCTTGCGGACAGGCAGATCTCTGTGTTCCAGGATGTCTTCGATGTCCACATGGTTATCCATGGTTGGGGGCAGCATTGGTATCCCTGATTGGAACTTGTCAGTCTCAACAAAGGTGCAAGGTTGGAAGCATGAAATACAGGGTAAGTGTGTAGGTGACCTGGGATTCTGATCACATAAGAGGGACCATCCGGTTCACTACCCACAATATCCAAAACCTCCCAAGGACCAAAATACGTCGGCATTAGTTTCCTAGAGATGCCGAACTCATGTCCTAACTCACTAGTCTTTACCCAGACTTGTTCTCCTACCTGAAATGTGGACTGTGGTCTGTGTCTGTTCTCATAGGCTATCATGGCCTCTTGAGATTTTCTGATATGCTTGACAGCCTGCTGCAACAGCTTCTCATACTAGACACCAAATTCAATGGCTCCAGGAGTTGCAGCTGGTCGGTTTTCAGGAAGAAGAAAGTCTAGTGCTGATCTAGGCTTCCAACCCCAGTGCAGGTCATTTGGAGAAACTCTGGTGGTACTGTGAACAGCATTGTTGTACAGGCTGGCGATGAGAGGTAGTTTCTCATCCCAATCATCCTGGCTGGGCTTTGTGTAATGCCTCAGCAAGTGCTGTACCACGTGGTTCGTCTGCTCCGCCTGGCCGTTGGCTTCAGGATGATTCCCTGAAGTCATGTGCAGTTGGCTGACCATCTGTTCAGCCGCTTTCTTTCACATCTCACTTGTGAAGTGGACATCTTTATCACTGACCACAGTCTTGGGCAGTGCGAAATCACGCACCCAGTTATCCATGAACAACTTGATGATGTGCTCTGTCTTTGCCGTGGCGATTAGTCTAGGTGCTTAGTGAACCGATCAACCATGACAAAAATGTGTCTCTTGCCACTCTTGCTGGTCACGAGAGTGTCCATGAAATCCATGGAAACGCTGTGTCTTGGACCAGCAAGAATAGGCAAGGGCTTAAGTAACCCAAACGGTGCTTGAGTTTGTGGCTTATCCCTGTGGCAAACTTCAAGTTGACAAATCTGGATGTAGTGCTTCGCATCATCAAGCATACCCGGCCACCAAAAACGTTGTACCATGTGAGCACTAGTCTTTTTGTACCCGAAATGTCCCGTTGCAGAGCGACATGCTCGTAGAAATAAACTCTGAAATGTCCCATTGCAGAGCGACATTCTCGTAGACTATGTCCCATTGCAGAGCGACATTCTCCTAGAAATAAACTATGTAAAAATGTTGTACCATGTTAGCACTAGTCTTCTTGTACCCGAAATGTTCCGTTGCAGAGCAACATTCTTCTATAAATAAACTATGTAAAAACTTCTTGTACCCGAAATGTCCCATTGCAGAGCGACGTTCTCCTATAAATAAACTATGTGAAAACTCGCTAGACAACATACAGTATTTTGATCCCTGCCTTTCCAAGAAAAATCAGCCCTTCCACCATCACAAACTCATCAGATGTGGCCTTGTCTTGGGCCTCAAGTTTGTGTATGATGTCCATCATATCGGGGCCTTCCTTGTAGGCATCAACCAAGGACCGGGTTACATCATCCGACAAGCTAAACTTTGTTATCAGCGCACTAGGTAATTTGCCTTTTGCGATAGTGCGTCAGCAACCTTATTGTACTCCCGCTTCACGTAATCTAGCTTGAAGTCATAGTGGTCTATGACTCCAATCCAACGTTTGAGCTCATCAAATAGAACAGGTTGCGTCTTGATTCACTCGAGTGTCAGTCCTCAAATAGAAGAATCTCCCCTACAGATAGTGCCTCCAGTGGACAAGGGCCTTGTAAAGGGCATAGAGCTCCCTTTCATGGGTGGATTTCGCCAGCTTCTTTTATGACATTTTTTGCTCATGTACTCGATTGGCCTTACTTCTTCCTTTCCTGCTGATTCAGCACTGGCCCAATACCATATTGGCTTGCGTCAGCGGTAACAACGAATGGCTTCTCACAATTAGGAAGCATGAGAATCTCATGATGCATGAGAGCATACTTCAATCACTTGAAGGGTCTCTCGCATTAGTCCATTCTCATGAGTGTGAAGGCGAGTTAGATCAGTCAAAGGGGCGGCCGCTGTACTATAGTCCTTGACAAAATTGCGGTAGTAGCCCATCATCCCTAAAAAAGATCTGACCTCCGTCACAGATTGAGTTCATGGCGAGTCACGAAAGCTAGCCACCTTCGCATCTTCCGTCCTAACATTGTCCGCGAATATCTCATGACCCGGGTACAAGATTTTGGGGCGACCAAACTCTCATTTCTCCAGATCGATCTCATACTTGTGCTGCCTCAAGGAGTCTTACTGAAAATAAGAGCATCGTCAAGGTACACGACGATAAACTTATCCAAGTAGTCATGGAATACCATATTCATGGTGTGCTGGAATGTGCCCATCGCATTGCATAGACCAAAAGGCATCACTACAAACTCGTACAAAGCGTACCTGGTCTTGTGTTGATCCTCTGGTCTAATGGCAATCTGATGGCAGTCGGATTTAAGATCTTAGTAAAGTATGTATATCCCTACACCGGATTTAAGATTTTAGTAAAGTACGTATATCCCTACACCCTATCCAGTAGGTCGTCGATGCGGGGTAAAGGTTCTGCGTTCATTACAGTGATGACCTTGAGATCTCTTTAATCAGTGTAAATCCCAAGAGATCCCCCTTTCTTCGGAACAAATAAGATTGGTGATCCGAAGGGAGATGTGTTAGGTCGTATCCAATCCTTTTCTAAGAGTTCTTTCAGTTGCCGACGAGCTCGACCAACTCAGTCGGAGCCATCCTATAGATACTCTCCTTTGGCGTCCTACTACCTGTGTCAATTTCTATGACATGGACAACCTCCCTGTCTACGACACCTGAAGGCTTCTGAAACCGTTCAGGGTACCCAGCAACGACGATTTTGATCTCTGGGGGTGATTTATTTGCCTCCCCTTTTTCAGAGATGAAGACGAAGTACAAACCCTCCTCTTGGTTTTGTTTATAGTAATTATCAAATGTTAATGCGCACATGCGCCCGTAGGAGTCTACGAACCTGTTAGTCTTATACTTAGTTAGTCTAACGGTCCTCCCGTCTGGCAGTACATGCTTGAGCACCTTTCGGTCCCAGTCAAAATTGGGGCTTGGCAACCTCGAGGTAGTACATACCCAACAGCATGTCGAAAGGTAAGTCATCACTAACAAGGACCGAAATCCTGTGATTAAGTCCCCCACCTCCAGAAGAGAAGGTGTAGACCACGTCCTTGACGTAGCTATTCACTACCATGCACTCTTTATTGGCCAAAGTAGATGCTAAAGATTTACTCAAACGCTACACCCGGTCCCCTAAGCGCAGTCTCTCAACGCAGTCACAACTTATGAAGTTCCGCGTGGAGCCAATGTCTACGAAGGCACCACGCTTGAGGCCGCCTACACCGACTTCCACAACGAAAGGCTCCCCTCTCTAGAGTGTGTCACCCAAGACTCACGAGGGTCTCTTGTTGATCATTCTGTCTCTGAGGCCTCAGACACATCTAACGAATAGAGCGTAGTTTGGTCAGGATGTGTCTGCGGGGTGACAAGAGAGTCAAAAGCCTCAGCCGTCTCTTGAAGAGGAGAGGGGACATATTCCACCTCAGCACGAGTAGAAGCAGCTATAACCTCTACCGGCCAGATGTGTTTCCCGGGGATGTGCTCATAGAAGCACCACCCTGG